CCTCCTAGCAGTGCCTTAGCTGTGTCCCAGAGATTGTGGTACTCTGTATCTTTGTTTTCACTAGTTTCTAATAACTTCTTGATTTCATTATTTACACAAAAGTTACACAGGAGCAGGTTATTCAGTTTCCATGTAATTGTATGGTTTTGAGTGAACTGCAGCACTATTCATAATTGCAAAGATATGGAATCAATCTAAATGCCCATCAATGATAGACCTGATAAAGAAAATATGGTACGTATACACCATGAAATACTTTGTAGCCATAAAAAAGAACAAGATCATGTCCTTTGTAGGGACATGATTGGAGCTGGAGGTCATTATCCTCAGCAAACTAACACAGGAACAGAGAACCAAATATTACATGTTCTTACTTATGTGTGGGGGCTAAATGATGAGAACACATGGACACATCAGGTGGAACAACACACACTGGGGCCTTTTGGAAGGTGGAGGGTGGTAGGAGGGAGAGGATCAGGAAAAATAATGGGTACTAGGCTTAGTACCTGGATGATGAAATAATCTGTGCAGCAAACCCTCATGACCCAAGTTTATCAATGTAACACACCTGCACATGTACCCCTGAAACTCTACTCCAGCCAAGAACACAGGGCTCTCTCTCTCCACTGGGTCTCAGGTAGAGTGCTTACATCCTGAAAGGAGCAGGATTTTGGTATTTCTCATCCTTTCCCTAGCAGCTGTTGCTGAGGCCAAGTTCTAGGAGTGCAGTTTAAAATTAAACTTTTTATCTCACAGATACAGACTCTACTTTGTGTGTGGCATGCTGAGACTACTGGGACCCTGATAGCCCTGTTTCTGGCTCCTGAAGTGGTGGTTCCATGCCAGACAACCTGAGAGGACCTCAGGCTGACCCCCACCACCAAGCACTCAGCTCCTACAGCAGGAGTGTGAAACAGAGAGAAGCACTATTCTCCCTGTCTGCAGTTCCAAAGTCCTGTTTCAGAGATTTTGCCTGAGAGTTAGACCCGTAAACCAGATTGTTCCTAAACTCTTCCCAAAGGAACTGACTTTATTTGCAAGAGAGTGTGAAAAAATTTAACCTACACATGATCTGAAGAACAGGAGAGAATGTAGTAAAAGGTAATGAGGAGATTTGTTAAACTAATGAAGATAAAACAAGACTGTAGGGTGGCTAGTTTGTAGGAGAAAAGGATGAATAAGATAGCCAAGAGGAGACCTCCTAGGCTCAAAACTAATATCAAATTCTGACAAAAAATATTTCAAAGTAGCTATTGTAAAAATGTTCACAGAGCTAGGGAAAAGCATGATTAAAGAAGTGAAAGGAGGTGTGATAACAATGGCACATCAAATTGAAAATATCAATAAAGAAATTATAAAAAATAACCAAACAAATTCTGGAGTTGAAAAATATAATAATGAAAATTTGAAGAAGTGCTCAGAAGTAGATTTGAATTTGAGTTGGTAGAGGATATAGTTTGTGAACTTGTATATAGATTAACAGAAATTATGCAGGCTGAAGAACAGATAAAAAAAATGAATAGATTTTCAAAGAAATGTGGAACACTATTAGGTATGCCAATGTACAAGTAATGAGAATATCAGAAGAGGAGAAAGAAAGAGAAGAAAAAATATTCCAAAGAATAATAGCTGAAAGCTCTCTCAATGTATTGAAAAATAGTAACCTGTGCAACCAGGAAGATCAACAATCTCCAAGTAAGATAAATGCAAAGAGATTCACAAACAGACCCATTACAGTAAAAAATGCTGAAAGTTAAACATGAGAGAAAATCTTGAAAGCAGCAAGATAAAACAAATGAATCAATTATAAGGGAGCCAATAATAAGATTATCAGCTGATTTGTCAGCAAAAACAATGGAGGCCAAAAGACAATAAGAGAACATAGTCAAAGCGCTCAAAAAAACCCCTGTCAACCAAGAATTTTATATTCAGCAAATGTATCTTTCAAAGTTCAAGATAAAAGAGACTTTCCAAAATAAACAAAAACACAGATAATTTGTTGCTAGCAAACCACCCTGTAAGAAATACTAAAAGAAGTTCTTCATGCTGAAAGTAAGTGACCTCAGACTGTAATTTAAATCCACACAAAGAGCAAAGGCTCCTTGGATTAATGTGCCTAAAAATAGAAATTGCTCAAAGAATGATAGAGGTATGTTAAAGAACACACAAGCCAAACTGAAGGGACTTCCACTGGATAAATCGGGGATAAGTTGACCACCAAAATTTTAAAAAATTGATTAATTGATTATAAACTATTAAATAGTGAACCATGAACACACACTGATTAAATACATAACCTTATTGATTGATTGGAAGTGTGATGAGGAATGGGATTTTAACAGTTTTAAAGCATATTTCTACCAAACGTTTATTAATTACATAAAGAAAAAGAGTAAACCCTGGTAGATAATACTTCATTTAAATAATAGATATGAACTCCATAATAGGGCAAACTGAAATTACAAGCCACCATACAGTGTGAAGACCTAAACATCTTTTTGTGGTATTCTGGAAAAAGAATCTTTACCTGGGCGTGAGGAATCATGAGAAAACTTTGGACAAATCCAAATGGAGAAACATTTTACAAAAACCTGAATTAATGAAGATTCTAGAAGGTAATATTCAAAAGTGTCAAGGCCACTATAGTGGATAAAACCTAAGATGATCAGTCTTTCCTCCCCCTTGCCTCCCTGACCCCCACAGTGATCCCTGCCCTTTGGTGTTCATGCCTTTGTATAATCTCCTATCCTTCGGTTTGGTGAGGATCTGTGACTTGCTTTTAACCAGTAATATATGGCATGGGTGATAAATGTCACTCCCATAATTACATTATGATTTTTATGTATGCAAAATCATACAAAAAGTGATATATATACACATATATATGTCTGTGTGTGTGTGTGTGTGTGTGTGTATATAACTCTAGCTTACTAACAGAGGTGCTAGAGAGACAACTCCTTACTGTCCTTGAAGAAATAAGCTCCTGAAGTGAGTGGCTATGTTGGCGAAGCCCACATGTCGAGGAAATGTGGACAGGTTGTAAGAGCTGAGGGTGGTGTCTAGAAGGAAACTAAAACTTCAGTCTTGAAGCAGCAAAGAAATATCTGCTAACAAGCTGAGGGAGCATGGAAGCAGATCTTTTTTAAGTCAAGGCTCTGATGAGACCACAGCACTGGCTGACACAGGGACTTCAGCCTGGTAAGACATAAAACCCTGTCAAGCCTGATCCACAGAAATTTTAGATAATGAATGTGTGTTAAATTTTATCTTAAATAAATTTTAAGATAATACATTTAAGCTGCTAAATTTATGGTAATTTGTTATGAAGTATAGAAAATGAATGGAGTTAGAAAGTCAACGAAAGACTGAGAAGCTGTTCCAATTAAACAAAACTACAGTAATATGACAACTAAATGCATTTAATTATTCTGAACTGGATCCTTGGGACAGATGGAAAAACTTGAATGGGGTCTGCATATTAGATGGTAGCAGTATATTAATGTTATTTTCTTGATTTTGATGGTTGTTTTGCGATTATGTAGAGGAAAATGTGATAGGAAGTAACATAAAATTATTCAAGAATGAAAAATATGTAGTGAGAGTGTTGTTTTTTCCTACACTGTGCACAACATGATTGACCATTTTTCTGATTAATTAAAGAAATAATGTGGTATCCTGTAGACAGAGCTAATTAAGCATTGGTTCCTTTTGGCTTCCTTCTAATGGTTAGAGAAGGGGATAAGATAGCGGGAATTAATATTTGGTGATCAGTTACTATGTGCCACAAGTGTAATATCCATGTTACGTGACTTATCTAGTTCCATCCTCACAACACGTGCTAAAATAAATGTAACTATCCCTCCTTTGTAGATCAAGTAGATAAGATTCTCATCCTCAATTCTTCACTGCCTCCGTTTGCTGTGTGATTTTTCACTATTTCCCACAAGAGAAAGCAGAGGCTATTTCTTCACTGCAGTGATGTTGAGATTGGTCATGTAACTTACTCTGACTAAGTATATGTGGGAAGACATGATGTGAACCATAGGTTAAATGTTTGTGTGAATTAGCTTCTTTCATCCTGTGCTTCTGCTGTTCACCATTTAAAGAATCTACCTGTATTGCTACTATTTTGAGGAGAATAATGAAAAATGTAGAGTAGACCTAAACTTAATTCAGAGACTGAAGCCAAGCCAAACCAACCCAATCCAAGCTGAGCCCAGAACTACAATCTGCCCAAAGACTTGGTGAATGAATAATATATGCTTATTGTCACAAGCCATTGAAATTTTGGAGTTGTTACACAACATTATTGCAGCAATAGCTGACTGATAAACTGGCTTAAAAATCATACTCTCAGTTAATTGGTCTGTTTCACTTTAAAACTTGTCCTCTTTATTACTTACTATACTACTATAACACAATTCAGTCTACAGTTATGAAAAATATTAGTGTTAATTGAAATCTTTTCAGTATCTTGATTAACTTATTTTTGCTTCCTACATTACATATTTATATATATAAATATGTTTTTATATGTATATATATTTATTTGTGTATATAGGTATTTATATATCTGTTTATAAATATGTATTTTATATATATATATGTATTTTAACCATCATCTTTTAATAGTGTCCTTGGGCATTTATCATAAAATCTAATAAACTTGACATATCCATACTGGTAACTTTAGGACTGAGCTATCTTGGTATAGGATATATTGCTTACGCTTTTTAAATGAGAAAGAGACAGTATTAGCACTCCAGGAGAATTATTTAGGATATTGCCAAAGAGTTACCCTCCAAATAATTAAATCCCTAGGTGGCTTATGGGGATTTGAAAATTTTTCAGGTTAAATTCATTTGGTATAAGAGAAGCCTCTGGTACCTCATGTTGTATCCTCTCAGCTGATTTCAGCCATGACTGTGGTGGACAGTTGATGCAAGTTTAGTCTTAGTCTGATAGTGTCTCACTTCAAGCATGCACTGTGTGTTTTTCAGCCTTCTGCCCCAGAGTCTTCTCCAAAGATGCAGGAGCTTGCTGGACCCACTTGCAAGGGAAGCCTGGAAGTTGGGGAGTTAATGCCGTCATGACACTCCCAACCAGTGAATCATGAGGTTAGTGGACAAATGCTCTAGCTTTCTGCCACTGGGTGGGCCATTCTGGAAGGCTTATTTCTCAAAGGTCCAGGTGTAATTTCTCAAAGGTCCAGCCATCTTTGCCCAGCAAATGCATTGATAACCTTTTATTGATAGCTTCTCCTTCCCTGCCCTGCTCTCTTTACTCTTTCACTCCTGCCTCCCAGGTTCATCTCCCAAGTAAACTACCTGCACCCAAATACTTCTTAGGCAGGAACCCAAACTAAGACAGAGGCATTTCCTAGAAGTTTAGGAATAAATGCTTCCCTTTTAAACCCCTATCGTGGCAGGGGAGATTAGAAAGGCAAGCTCAGAGCTCATTGGGTATGCCCTCATGTTTTGTTACTTGTGTCACATTGCCAGATGACCATTTGGCACCAGGAGTGCACCAGTGCCACACACTGGTCTTGAAAAGGATCTGGACCACATTCCCAGTTATTGGCATGTGCTTACCTTGGTTTTTTATTGAGGAGACATGTTGCTGTGACACAGAACAGCAATGAGGAGGAATGACCTTTAGTGCTCAAAGCCTGACTCTATGACTCAACAGATACCTTTGAGCCTGTCGCTAAACCTCAGTTTTGACTTCTGGAAAGTGAGGATAATAATACCAACCGCATTAATTTGTTGTGAAGATAAAATGAAAATCATGTAAATGTGAGGTTTTATAGATTGCAAAATACCTTAGAAAATATTAGAGTCCCCACTGCATGTTCATTACGAACATCAGGAGTAAAACTACTTGTGTCCAACTTACTAGTTATGTAACTTTGGGCAGGTTGCTCTTTGTACCTATTTCTTCTTCCTTCAATGGAGATAATAACAGTACCTACTTCAGAGGGTTCTTGAGAAGATAAAATGCATGGAAAGAATTTAAATGGTACCTGAAACATGGTTAATAAATATTAAGTATTATTATTAATAAATGTTAAGTATTATTAAATGTTGTGTATAATTAAACAAGTTATTGAGTGCCTGAAGTAGGCAAAGTTCTGTGCAGGAAGCAATGTTGTTGTGTTGTATTGTGTATTGTATTGTAAGCATCTGATGTTACTTACCTTGATAAATATAGCCCTGTATTCAAATATGTACAATATCAAACAGTCTGTACAGAAAGCCGATGGAAGGCTAGAGTTGAGCAGAGCAGGCACTGATGGATGGTTACTATTGTGACATATGGAGATGCAGACTGGGTGTTTTGGTCAGCAAGAGGTACAAAAGCAAAGGTACAGATATGGGAATGTCGTGGGATTTAAGGCTAGAGAAGTGTGTTGGGTCCAGATTGTAGAGTTCAGAATTGCAGGCCCTGGAATCTGGATTCTCTCTAGAGAGCAGGAGAGACCCACTGAAGGACTTTTGAGCAATGTGATGTGAACAGACCACCGCTTAAGAAAATCAACCTGACGGCGCCTTGTGTGAAAGAACAGCAGAGGGAAGGCCTAGACACCAAGAGATCAGTTGAAGGAAATGTGCAGTACTCTAGAGGTGAAGTGATAAGGGCCTGAACCAAACTAGGGCAGTGGTAGCAGAAAAGTCAGGACAGATGTGAGAGGCATATTGTTAAACAAGCCAAGAGGATGATAGGTTCTTTACTGGGTACTCAGAACAGAGCTTACCCACCTGGTTCACCTTAACACATAGCATAGTCAATATACAAATAACCAGGGATTCATACACAGGTGCACAGCACATTCATACTTATGGTATACTTTTGTGAAGTTCACAAAAGGTAACCTCTCCACCATGAGGCTTGTGCTTTATCATGCTGAAGTCCTCTGAAAGGTGACACCGGAAACATTTAAAGAGGAGTTAACAATAGGTAGTAGCAAGTGTACATGTTTCTTGAGCAGTAACTATTCCTGCTGATGAATTATTCATGACGTTAGATTGACCCTGTAAACATTACTGCAGAGTCACTGGTGAGTATTATTATTATCCTTATTTTACAATTAAGAACATAATGGTTCAAATTGAGAACGTACTATGCTCTCAAATCCTGCCCATCCTTTCATTCTTTTCGCAAATGTCATTTCCTTCCTGAGAAATTTTCAGAGTTGGAAGCAATCTGAACTCACTGAATGCTTATATTCTTTCATCACATATAGAGCTTGCACTAGAGTCATTTGTGTGTTTGTGTTATTTCATGTATTAGATTGTAAGTTTCTTTAAGATAGAGGCTTTTGTATTCATTTTTGTATTCCCCATAGAATCCTAGTGCCTGACACATAGTAGGGGACTCAATAAATGTTTGTAGAATTGATTAAAGTGTGAACACTAAAAAGCCCGAGTCTGCTATGGATATGTTTATTTGAATGTATAATTGGTAGTTTCCCCATGGATCCCTTCAAGAGTGTGTTGATACCTTAGCAGCTCTTTGAAGTTATGGTGCATTTAATTAAATGTGTTATCTTTTTAGAGTTCTTGTACCAAGAAAATAGATTGCATATTATAATGTATTCATTGTTCATTCCAAAAAAAGACCTATGCATCTGTTTAAGTATTCGGTTAACAAAGATACCAGAGATGAGAAATAACAGGTGTTCCAAGTAATTACCAATTCTAGTCAACCAAAAATTAGATATTTTAAAATCTTCTCTTTTCTGTTTCATATTCTTTTTTTTTCCTTTTGATCAGAAGTGATTCCTTCCTAGATAATTCCACATGGTTCTGTTTTTCCTATTGTCTTGACATTGTGTAAGAATTTGAAAGAGAATGTTGCAATCTGTTTCTCTGAACTGTGGTTTATCAAGAGGATCTGTTTTAAGCCAAAGAGAGTTTCCTTGTATGGAATCATGCCAGAAGGGTATGTGCACCTTGCAGGCCTAGGAGGACTGCAGCCTCATGGAGTGATGCTGCTGTGGGGGCTGTAGGCTCCTGGCCCTCTTAGAGGGTGGATACTCCATGACTTCTATCATATAGCCTTTAGCTGCCGGCATCTGCTAGGCTTTGGAATACCCAACTCTGATTTTCTGGGAGGCTTTTCTGGTATTACGGCACTGTTTCTTAAATAGGGTTGATCATAAGACCCACTTTGATTGCTTGTAAAAATGTTAAATCTCAGGCCTTACTCTAGAAAGAAACTCCAGGGGAAGGACCTAGAATGTCTGTTTTGGTTTTGTTTTTGTTTTTTTGTCAAGTGCCTCAGACAAGTCTTATGATCAGGCAAATTGAAACACTTTCATATACTGGCTTGAAATAACTGGCTGCAGTAACTTACACTTAACTGGCCATGTGAATATTTTCTTTTTCTTTCTTTCTTTTTTTTAGACCAGTCTCTCTTGTCACCCAGGCTGGAGTGCAGTGGTGCTCACTGCAACCTCTACTTTCTAGGCTCAAGCAATCCTCCCACCTCAGCCTCCCAAGTAAGCTGGAACTATAGGTGCATGACACCACACTTGGCTAATTTTTTATAGCAACAAGGTCTCACTATATTGCCCAGGCTGGTCTCAAACCCCTGGGTTCAAGTGACCCCCCTGCTTTGGCTGCCAAAGTGTTAGGATTTCAGGTGTGAACCACCGTGCCCAGCCACATGTGAAACCCCCACTCACATGGGGCTTTCCAGTCTGAATGAAGAGCAACTTACATCCGCTCTCTAATTTAGTTTCCTCAACTGCAAAATGGGGATAATTATAGTACCTACCTATTGTTAGGATTTTAAAGAGGATTAAAATAAGTGATAATGTATGTTAAATACTTAGCAAATCACCTGGGACAGAGTAAGTACTCAATAAATGTCAGCTATATAGTGAACTCTTCTCCCCTATTATTATATCAGCAAACTTGCCTTCTAGAGGATGTTTATGTACATCCCTAGTTCACTTTATTCAGCAGGAAATCTTTCCTGTCTAATCTGAAAAGATTATTTGAAGATCCCCTGGGAGATCACAGTATTTTAGAATTGGAAAGGACTTAGATGCCTTATAATCCAGTACCCCAATTTTGTTTGCTCATTTTTGGTCTACTCCCTTTTCATTTTCAGCTAACTTCTGATTCATGTGTAGTTGAAGCTTATCCTTCAAGGACAGTCACCCTCCTACCAGCCACCTAGACTGGGAACCTGGATAACCTTCCAGACAAAGCCCTCTCATGCCCAGAAAAGGCCCTGCTGTGCTGTTCCTTTGATGGTTAGAAGGTTTGCCCATCCGGCAAACATAGCAGCTTTGCCTCCCTTGCCCAAAGAGAAGTTCTGTAAATGCTTGTCCTGAATTTTAAAAACCAACATGTTTTCCTCACTATTAGCCATCTAAGAGGTAGTCTTACTAAATTTTTGTTATGTTTGCCTAGTTCTCTGTCTACTTAGATAAACCTGAATCAGTGTTATCTTTATTAGACCGTGTATTCTTGAAAATCAAAGATTTCCATTTTTTCCACTGGAAAAATTCTAATTACATCATAAAGGCACAAAAACATAATGCTGATGCTGATGCTGATCATAAATACTCAGACTATTATAATGTCTTTGTCTCAGTAAAATTCTTTTGGTCCTGTGATTCCATCTCATTTTAAAGACAATTTAATGCACAATTAATCTTTGTCCCCTGCATTTCTTGAACTACTTCTTTGTGTGTGCTAATTTGTCAAGCAAAACTTTAACCAACACCTCCTGGAAATTTAGAATAGAGAATTTTGAGGCATTCATTTGATTTTCTTGGCATTTACTTCCTTAAAGAAGTCAAAAAATTATCGAAGCATGACTTTTTCATTCCAGAGACTGCATTGGCTATCCTTAATCAAGCTGTGCTTTTCTCAGTGTTCCCCATTTAATCTCCTAAAATACTTCCTAAGACGTTGCCCCCTACAATGGAATCAAAACTAAATGGTCTGTAATTTCCTCAAGTGTTCCCAGATCCTGTTGTAAATAATGACATTGTGCTGGCCACTTTCCAGTCTGAATGAAGTGACCTTGTAAAAATGTCTGCTTACTCTTCTATAACGTCTTTTTCTACTTTCTGTAGGGCTCTTGGATAGAGCTTGGCAAA